CGACCTCCATCAACATACAACGGTCTTTCAGACCCAGTCTCCTGCCAACAACGGTCTTTCAAACCCTGGTCTCCTGCCGACTATGGTCCTCCCGACCTCTGTCGCTTATTACGGTCACTGCGACCTCCATCATCAGACAACGGTCTTTCAGACCCCAGTCTCTTGCCAGCAACGGTCTTTCAGACTCTAGTCTCCTGCCGACTGCGGTCATTCTGACCTTCGTCGCCTACTACGGTCACTCCGACCTCCATCATCAGAAAACGGTCTTTCAGACTCTCCTATATCCTGCCGACTATGGTCCTTCAGACCTTCGTCGCCAACTACGGTTCTTCCGAACTCCATCATTAAACAACGGTCTTTCTGACCCCGGTCTTTTGCCGACTACGGCCCTTTCAACCAAACAAACATGTATATATAACTCCCACCATGTAATGCACTTTATATGATGTACATTTGTTACATCAATCTAAGGCCTTCTCCCATGGAAGGGCCTCGTTTGTAATCGACTGCAAATACTAGTGGATTCATTCAAACTGGGCCAGGCCCCGTGGTTTTTCCCCTTTTTCAGGGGTTTCCACGTAAAAATTCTGGTGTCTCTTATGAACACTACACCCTCTCTCTTATCTAATTGTGTGTTGGATCTTCGTACAATGCTAATACGTTAAACTTTATATTTCTCTACCACCGCGAATACTCCAGGACGCAATAAGTACTTACAATACTTATAAAAAATAAAAAAGTAGTTTTAACTTTTTGGCCTTGATATTAATCCCTGCATGTTTGAGTTTTATTATCCTCCACAATTTATTGACTTCAAAAAAAATATTCACTTTTAAGATTAAGAAAATGAAGATTGATTTAATATGTTAAAGTAAAATAATAATAATAAAAAAAGACAGCGAGAAATGAGAATTTTAATTTATTTATAATGAGTTATGATTATAATTACATATATTGATTCATGAGCTCTATGTGTCACGACCCAATTCGACCGGGACGGATCCCTTCGCGTTGAGTCGAAGACTTTCATTTCAAGACTTTCATTGTACTGAAGCAATATTTTTCAACATACGGATAATTTTCTATTGGATAAAAACCTCACATAATTCAAAATACCCGGTGAAAATTCTCCAGAAAATACTCAAAACGTGTAAAATCATTATCTCATAAAACATACCAAAAGTTACGTGGTAAAAGTTTTACCGGAGCAAAGATATACCCGTTTTTCGCTAACGGAAACAAAATTTGAACCAGAAAATCCGTCAAAACTCACATTTCTATAAATTGAGAAAGGCATAATGTGCATTACCTCAAGTCAATCAACTTTCTCAACTACGGCGACGGACGAAAACGGGCCGAAGTCGCCCAAAACTTACTTTTCTTCCTCTTTCCTTCCTTTTCTCTCTTCGTTTCTTTCTTCAAAATGAAAATTAGATATTTAATGGGCTGAGACATTTCCCCAATCGTCCGAACGATATTCATGGTTCATCCCGGGACGATATCCTCGGTTGGTTCACAAACAATATTCGTACAAACGAAAATTGCTCTTCGTACAAGGACGATCTCCTCGGGTCGCCTTCGTACGAACGATGATTACTCTTCGTCCCTGGACGAAGTTCTCTGTCCAAAACTTTCAACTATTCATCCTGGACGAACACAACTTCGTACGGACAAACCTGAATGAAAATCCAAAATAAGTTAAACAAAAAAGAAAAAAAAGGTTTTTCACACTATCTGAGTTAGGTTAGTCAAATTCAAAGCAATTGGACAAGATAAGCTCATCAAAAACGAACTCGTCAACCTGTCAAATATGAGGAACTTGCCTAACTCTCCTAGATGTCAGTATTTAATATCAGGGGAAACATAGGTTTGTTTAATAATAGTAATTTTCATGGCAAATGAAATTTCATATATTTATGAGTAATTTAAGTGAGCAACAACGTTTTAATTATGATGGGATATCATTAATGAGATCTAGATTTCGTTTGAGATAGTTCTCTTATTATTTCTTAAAGTAGTTTTTTAGTACAAAAATTACTAAAAAGCTAATCAAAAAATAGTAAAAAAATCGTCTTTGATACGGCATCACAAAATTAGCTTGATCGGGCACGAATCTCGAGGCGAAAGTCCCCCTTTTGCAGGGGTTTTCCACGTAAAAATCTTGGTGTCTCATAAATGCTAGACCCTCTCTTCTTATCTGCTTGTGTGCTGGATCTTCGTACAATGCTAAGACGTTAAACTATATATTTCTCTACCGCCGCGAATATTCCAGGACGCAACAGTCTTAAATGAAGTCTTAAAATTTGTTCGAGGTTAAATTCCTAATGCGTTGAAATGAAGAGTTATACATAAACTAAATAATGATAAAAAAAATAGAACAATTCAAAACATTAAAAAAAGGCGTATTCATGAATTCATGGAGTTACTTTCAATGCTGGTAAATAAGTAGTTTGGTGTGTTTTTATTGTCTATTATGGCATCGTCTAATTGAATAATAATTGTTTGCTGAAATATTTGCAACGATAGAGAGAGTTTAACGTCATAGTTTTATACAAAGATCAAGTATATATACATATAAGAGAGGGGTGTAGGAATTGTAAGTAATACCAGAATTTTTGCGAGGAAATCCCAATAAAAGAAAAAATGTGGGGCTTATCCCAATTAAAATTATTCCACTTGTATTTATCATTGGTTACAAATGATGTCCTTCATTAAGGAAAGTCGTTGATTCAACATAGTGAATGTAAATTGTATAGAACATATTACGTGGTTGAATTTAGAACTTGGTAGCGTGAGAGTTGTATTTAAGAGATTGCTCACTTGTTTATTTAGTCGTACTCCTTCAAGAAGAGGAGATCATAGACCAAAAAAATCCAATATAAATCAAGTGCTGACCATGGGAGTTGGAGTTTGGTGCTGATGACTTGCATTAATGTTATAATTGATATTGTTAGCAATGGTAGGCAGTGAAGTCAATAGACATTGTAGTAGTCAGGTGACAATCAACAAAAGATTGTAGTCAAGCGAGGGAGGTTGAAGGATCGTACTCGGGTGACAAAGATCGAATGATCGCAGTTTGGTGATGGTTGTCAAAGAACTATAGCTGTGCCATGAAAGTCAATGGTTTGTACTCAGATGAAAGTACTCAGTAGGATGGTAATCGGGTAACAATGGTTGAAGGACCATAGTAGGGGGCGACGAATAGAGTATCATAGTCAGGCAACGGGAATTGGAAGGACCATAATCGAGTGATAGAGGTTGAAAGAATTATAGTCGAGCAATAGTGGTAGAAGGACCATAGTCGAGTGGTGGAGGTCGGATAACTTTTGTCAAGACAGTGGAAGGATTGTAATGTGATAATGGTTATCAGAGGGACCATAATCGGATGATCATGGTTAGAGAATTGCAATCAGATAATGGTGGCTAGAGGATCATATCAGGCGACGATGGTTGGATGACCATGGTTCGGAGACATTGGTTGGAAAATGGTGATGTGACGATGGTAATTAGGAGATATTTCAATAGTTGTGGTTGGGAGGTGGCTTGACAATGATGTCAAGTTGTGTTCCGATGGAAGTGGTCAGGTGGTTGTTTTATGGTAATGTCGAGTGATTATCAAACTGTTATGATGACCGTGTTTGGGTGATGGTCAATGACAACATCAGGTAATGTCTAACGACAGTGTAGGGTAGTGGTCAACTATGACATTAACATTGGTCAGATAGAGATGATCAGTCGGTTGTCGAAGGTGGTGTTCAAGAATTCTAAGCAGAGTTATCTTGAATCTCAAGCTAAAGTCTAAGTTTCCTCCATCCCCTCATGTAAAGGAGAGATTATTCTGTGTGGATGCTGAACACTGCTCTACATCTGAACATCAATCAAAATAAGCCACATCAGTCATACCGAGCCGAGATACCGAGCTGTAGGTTTAGGCATTCAGACAGGGTCCCGCTTCCGCACAAAATATATTTTTTTAACATAAAGAGTGTGGGGCCTATTTATAGATTTAATGAATAATATGCCCTATAAATTTGGCTTAAATCAGGAATAGTCCATTGAATGACATATATTGATAACCTCGATTAAAGATTATTTCTTCAACATTTAATTGTCCTAATGTTAGAATTAAGCAATTTTATGATCGTTGTATTTGACTTGTTGAGATGCTCGATTTGAATATAAGCATAATTTGGAGATCATATGATACTCAAATTAATATTTTAGTATTATGAAGTTTCCATTTGAGCTTCAAGTGCTTGATTTGGGTTACTTCATACTCAAATTGTACCACTTTTTGTCGTTAGATTCGTCTTATCGAGAAGTTTAATTAATTAAGCTTTTTGAAATTAGAGTTTGGTTTCGTTTGGGACGGCTTTTTTGTTGCTTTATAAAACGGAGTTTTAATACAAAATTGGTCTTGAATTTAATTTCGAAAGTTCCCAACTCAAATATTCATTGCGATTTGTGTCTGATCGAGGTGATTTTCGATGGCATATCAATAATAAATCATATACACAAGAGATGTTGTAAACAATCTACTTGAATTTGTTTTGTTGAAAATAAAATTTTTAATTGAAGTTATTCTCATTAAAATTAGAATTGGCCTTAAATATATAATTTTTTTTCAACTAAAAATATATAATATTTTTCAATTTTTGATTAATTCATTGTGTTCTTGGACGGGCAATTGAAGATAATAAGCGCTCCAATGC